TATTATGACAACCACAAAAATAAACACATAAACCTGATACAACATTACATGTATCAATTTGTTGAACAATTGTCTGAAAAATAAAACCTAACATGATTTTGATTAACATCATAGCCACCAAAAATTGATCAGGTTCATTTTGTGACAGCTGACAAAATTCATCATTGAAAGGGTTGAATGCAAAAAAAACAGGAAACCAGCTTATTTTGTTTTATCCCTGGTACTTTTTAAGGATATAAAATTCATTTTTACACAAATTTCACAAATATTAAAATAAATCCAACTTGTTCAGTCCTATAAATATTCAAGTCAAGAGATGTCCAGGCTGGAAAGGGTAAAAATTGTGGTAAAATAATTGAGGTTATTAAACATGTGATGCTAGCAGGAAGGATGCTAGAAAATACAACGGAACCTAAGATCAGTTCTTTCACAAACTCACTCACATTAATTGGTGAGAGGAGCAATATTAAATTGGTTCCAATAAAATGCTGTCATGTTAACCCAGCAATTTAAATCTTAAAAGTCCATATTTATAATATGGAAAATGAAATAATACATAATATGAAAATGAAATCTTTCTCATCACTTAACTCAATCCCCAGAGGGAGAGAAATGTTCACACATAAAAAAAAATGTATAAGAACACCGAGACAAAAACAATCTTTTTCCCCATACCTTAAAGAAGCTGTACTGGTCACTCTTGTTGAATTACAATAAAAAAAAAAATAGTTTAAAAATAAAACCAACCTGGTTTAATTTCAAATAAGTATTTGCTTGGGTCGTCTGGATTGAAAGGAAACACATGCACCTTGTTCCCAGCAAGTTGTATTGTTCCCATTTGTTTTTTCTCGTCCTCGTTGGTGAAATATTTCAGCTCTTGTCCAACTAAAACAAACCATCTCTTTTGCCAGTTCTTGACCATTCCACCTTGTTTTTTGAGCCACCCAGTGTGGATTACTTCGGGTTGCAAACCCGGTCCAAGTGAAATCATCGTGATATCGAGTAAGGTGTCCTGTGGATAGGAGACTGGCAGTGACTTTCTATCCAACCTTCGAAAAGAGGAAGCAAAAGTGAGAGTCAATTTTGAACTAAGATCGTTCTGAGAGTTGGACATTTCCTAACGAATAATCGTTTTGTGTTTAGCAGTTTCGCTTATACGTTGAAAGTTTTGCTGTCAAATTCTTATTTACAGAGTTTCTAACGAACTAATCAAATATTTACAAATTCTAAAAATAGCAAAACCCGGAAGCGTCCAATAAACCTAAGTTTTAGTTCGCTACGTACCTTCACTTGTCTTGTAAAAAATCAGGTCGTTCAACTTAAAAGTTATCTCTTCAACGGCGATTGAAATATTTAATTAATCGTTTTAGCGGTTAATACGAATTAGATAAATTCCTGAACGGTACTCCAGTATCTACGAGACAGTTTGAAAACAATGATCAAAAGTTTTAAACAAACTGTTTTAGTATTAACATCGCCCACACTTGGCACACCTACTGGTTGTTTGCGACCTTCAACGAAATCACGGTCCTTGCGAGAAGAGTTCATATCTCGGGTTTAGCGTTAGGTCACTACGCAGGTTGTGATGACGTTCCCCAATCAATAAGCAAGCCAATTAGATTTGGTCGATATCATTATTTGCGGAGGTAAATGTTAAAAACCGCACAAGACATTTTCATCCAAAAATAGAGCACAGTAATCAACTATTTTATGATTGTATATAGTTATGAGAAGTATAAAAAGTATTTTTATATACAACATGCGTTTCAAGGTTGATAAATAAAATAACAATAACACAACAACTTAATTCCAACTTGTACACCCCCAAAAGAATAACGTCACGCGGACTGTTATTGTGCGAGTTTCAACGTACTGCTATGTATGGCGGTTCGTTTCTGAATCTATATGGAAATTTTAAACCGGAATACTCTTTTTGTAGTAAAGAATATTGCCTAGCCAGGATTTCGCGCATCCAGTGGAAAGCCTGTGACAGACCGATTGCCCAGTGGAATTGCATATCGACAGCAAACTGTGTATGTCCGTCGTCGTAAAAAGACCATAGTCGGTACTACTAGAATAACCAGGCCAAGTCTGCGGATGTTGATAGTGGTACTGCTCCCAAAATTCACATTGTTTGTGGTGTGAGCGCCGTACTCACACCGGTAATTCGGTATACGGTTCTCCAAGAGACATGCACGACTTGGAAACTGAAGACTATGAAACAGGAGCTGTCCCGGAAATAATGAGAAAGTGACATACTACATCGCCGAACATTGAATCGTATTGCAACGTGGCTACAACAAACTAGTTAATCATATTGTTATTACCATCAACTAATTGAACGACGAAATCGATCGCAGCACAACAATTTTATTTGACGAAACTAAACATGACACTGGATATCTGAAAGGTGGGTAGCAATGAACTTATAGTTCTCAGAGTAGAATACCAACTAGACCATGACCGATCTTGACCCAAAATAAATACCTTGTTTACAAACATTAATAGCCTGTTTTGCATGTTAATTACTCCAAATAATATAAAAATGCAAACTTCAAACAGATCTAAATTTGAATAAATTGTATAATATATAAATATTAATCTCTCTAAATACTGGTCTCCGAGGGTGTGTCATTTGCATTAGTCATATTAATAAAGCGCTATAAATACATATAGCAGTGAACATATGGGCAGGCAGGCATTCTGGTAATATATAGTCAATGTTGACACTTAATGTGTTGCATAATGGTATTCAGGGCATCACAAAAAGCCAAAACTTGTCAGTATATGTACTTAACTACCAGCATGGGGATACAATGATAAAGAGTAAAACATTGTAAATTTGATTTCGATTTATATAAATATATTTTTGTTGCAGATTTTCTGTGTGCTGTTGTTTGAATAGAATATTTTGGCAACAGTTGGTTCTGTGTCATCTGAAATTTAAATATATTTTTTTTTTTCATTTGTTTGTCTTATTGTTGTGAAAACATAGTATTCCCCACGACAGCAACAGGGCCAGTATAATGTGTGGGAGAGTACCAGGTAAACAGTTTCATTTGACATTAAATTACATTCTTAGCCTAGATTGGGAATTCATAAAGATCCGTTCTTTTATTTAGTTAGTTAAAGTAAAATAAGAATATATAATGATAATGTACATTAATGCTGATCTAACTTCAATAATATTATTTATATTTTGTCAGTTAGAACAATTAAACCAAATTACCGGTATTATCAAACTAAAGAAGAATTCTACTTTTTTTTTACGGTTACTAGTATTATAAAGTGGTTAGCAATGTTCACCTCACATCGGGGTGATTGTTATACTCAATTTCCAGCCTGTGTCCTTGTTTACATTAGTACTGTTATACTGCCCTCAGTGATATTTATTATTACAGCGGCCCCTCGCTAAGTCGCGGGTGTCAGGATCCAAGCTAAACTGTGACTTATTGAGGGTTGTGATTTGCCAAGGGGGTCTCCTAAAAAAATATGAAAAGTTGCAACTTCATACCCCCGTCGACACCTCAAGTCAGGCCAGTGTCATCCTTTGTATCTCAGTAATTTACGCCCAGTAGGTGTTAAGATGTCTCCTTCAGCCCTTTAACGGCCAATTAAATACACAATGTAGCGAAACATTAGTTTTTCTACTTCAAAACTGTCGGCAAAAATTGTTAGGAACCATCCAACTACCCTTGACTTAGCCGAAACTGCGACTTACTGAGGTGCGACTTAGCGAGGGGTCACTGTATTATATGCAGGGACACAGACTGGTGAAACTTGGCAGCGGTGGGTTGTACCAGCTCATATTCCAGGCTGATAATTAAAGTGCCTGTGAAATGGCTGCTATTTTCACGCCTAAAATTATCAATTGATACATAAATATTATTAATTTTTATGTTTCTAAGCATGAATTATTATTTTTAAGTGAAAAAATGTGTTTTAAACTTAGTCTACGGCAACTTTATTTTTGTGTATTTTAAAACGAGGCTCCTCATTAGCTTCTCATTTGCATACATTCCCCTTGTGACGTCAGAAGGGGAAGTCGCATGGCAGCTTGCATTGCCAATACGTGTAAATAAGGCAAATTTCTTGTGCAGTTTCCTCGTCTTTGACTATATTGTCACTTATGTACTTGTTCGTCGAGGAAGAATGGACCATAATGAACACATAGTATCAATTTCTGTTGCATGGGGTTGAGTTAGATGCGAAATATGTCCGTTCTGGTGTAGCTGGTCACCGTGATCGTCACTGACACCGGCGCACGTTTGTACACTGTTGCTGGACAAAATAGAATTTGACCTCGGAATTATCTCGTTATTTAGCAGGTTACTAGGCACGTCACTACACTGTTTTATTTCATCGATCATCTAAGTAAAATTTTCAAAATTAAAATAAAAGATAACATATTTTGACATTCTAAATATTAGACTATAGTGATCACTATAAAATAATTAAAAAAAAACGACAAATCACAGTTACTAAATAAATGAAAGCCTCGTGGAAATAAATTGACATTTTGTTGAAATAGGTGAACGCGTCAGGTCACGGCGAGGGCAAGTGCGTTAAAAGCGGCGCTTAATTGGATAACACACATACAGATAAATTCAGAGTGGATTCGAGTTAGCTTGATCCATGGCGTGATTGTCATAATTATAACATCGTATTAAAACTTTATTTGGTGGAAACACATTGACCAAGCCCGGATTCTTATTTCATAAATTATTACGCAGATCAAACTGCAAGCATGGAGGTAAAAAAGAACAGAGGTGTGAATTCGACATTCAACACCAATCACCAAACAATTCAGAAACTTTTAGCCTTCGAAAATGAAAACAGTTAGCAGTGTGTAAGGGCTGTGTAATTTCCTGTTTGTCCGACGCTTCATTTTCGTGTCACTGTCAAATTATTGCTACCTTTTACTTAACAGGGACTAAATGGTCTCTATAAAACGATAATCAGGATCGCAAAAAAAGTCTACTGATTTGAAACACTTGCCGGACGTCTCTCCCTCTCTCTCTCTCTCTCTCTCTTCTGAAATCCGCCTCGGTGATCATGGGCTGGTCCGGAATCTATTTCTTTCAAAAGTGTTGCGCCAGGTTTACGTTGTCGGCGTTTCTCTTTAAACCTAGTAGTTTTTTTTTATGGACGAGGACAGTTGAATGAATCTAAGGTTAAGTGATGTCGCACCTTTGGATCAATTAGAAACGTGTGAATACATACACTATGGCTATACGTTTCACTGCAACTGCCCACATCACAACATCTAAAAACTCTCTCTCTCAAAAAAAAAAAAAATAGACAAAAGAAAAAACGCCGACCGAAAAATGTATATCGTTTAAAAGTATACTGAACGACCAGTGTTATTACGGCTCAGGGGTATGACTTCCTCTCACATTTTGTCATTTGGTGGCGCACTTTCGGCGAGAGTCGGAAATCCGGAAACAGTAGACCGTTTCACGATAGGTGGGCGTGGCTACACTGCGAGAAATATCCCAAATTTACTTGGATACGAGTAATCATTTTCAGCCAAAAAATCAATAACTACCCTTTTCAGTGGGACACAGATCTAAAATGGGAAACGTGAGGGTGGGCATTGCACAGGCACTTTAACAGAATTTTGTATTTCTGTTGTGTATTGCCAGCCAATCATAGTCGTTTTAGTTATCGTTCGTCAAGCACTTGATGTGTTGTGACAATACCGCTAAATGCTAAATCAAACAGTTGTGTTGACGAATTCTGTTGGACAATTACATAAGGTAGACATGGATATAAACAAATTTCAATTGGAAATGAACGAACAGAAAAGGATTTTTTAAATAAACTAAAAGGTATGCATGATATCTTCAGGCAGTTCCAATGACAAAAATCATTTTGTTTGTACACAAACATCAGATACAAGCCCATTCCTGGAGCCAACTCAACAGGTGTTGTAAATTCATTGGTGTCTTAAAACTGTATTTATGTTCATCTTATTTTATAGTAGGTACTTGCAACATATTTAGGTTGTTATTATCAATTTTGTTAAACTTGATTCCAATAAGTTTATATACATGTATATTATAATGACATTTTGCATGGCGAAGAATCGTTATTGCACAATTGGAAAAATATACAGTAAACAAAAATATAAAATCAACTGAAATATTTTTATTGTGACATTATCCAGTAGCCGCCATATTTGCATGTCCCTCATAAAATTACAAGATTTTTTTACTTACCAGGCGTAACTCTTGGAGGTGAGTACACATTAAGAGACTGTCCTGCTTTCCAAACATTTGATTTGCATATTCATTTGCATTTATTAATATCGTAAACAAATATATGTCACAAGAGACGACAGTGACTTCAATGTCCAAAAAATTAACCTCGCAAAAAAAAATTAGTATGTGTGTAGATCGTGATTTAATTGAAACTAACTTCTGAATTTAAAGGGCTGGTGTGTAAGTAATACACTTACACACAATACCATGTATGTGCCATGCATCTGTTTTATTTTGGTCTTGAAGTGCGTGTCTATTTTC